TTAAGGTCAGAAGGGACCATTATGAGCATCTGGCCTCACCCCCTGCATGCTGCAGGCCATAAAACCGTCCCTACCCCTTCCCTGGACTCTGCTGTTGAAGTCTCCAATCCTGTTTTTAGTGACTGCAATCGGCAGAGACCCTCCTGCTAGAGATCCCTGCCCCATGCTGCGGAGGAAGGCGAAAAACCTCCAGAGGCTCAGCCAATCTGCCCTGGAGGAAAATTCCTTCCCGACCCCAAATGTGGCGATCAGTAAGACCCCGAGCATATAGGCAAGAGTCTCCAGCCCGACCCCGTTAGCCATTATAGGCCTTCTCCCCCAGGCTGTGCAGATTCATATAGGTTCCTAATCCTGGAGAGGAGCCTTCTTCACCCCAACATCAGAGGCTGTCTCTTCCTGCTCTCGGAGCTGCTGGAGGCTACACCCCCTACCTTCCCTCTTCTCCAGCTTCTCGCTGTCTCCCCCTGGCTGTCCACACGCCTCTGTTTGTCTAACCCTCCCATCCTGGTTTAATCACGTCACCGTCTCTCACATGACTGAATTCATGCTCTCCACCTGGGGCAGCGAATCAGCTGTGTCACAGGTGGGCTAAGCCCGCTCTCCCTTTAAAGGGCCAGCCACCCTGTCACAGGCTGGGAAAGGAGGCATGAAAAGTCTGTGCAAAAGCAGAGTCCTCAATGCCCATGACCTGGCAGGATCACGCACATGGTATTTGTTGCCCAACCTGAATGGCTGAGTACCACAAGCGCAAAACCATAGGCCATTCTGATCCATGTGCTCAGTGAAAACTGCAGCTCACCTGGGAATTTTAGGTTTCCCTTCCACTTCCTGTCACAGTTACACTTATTGCCTGTCTGGAAGGAAGCCTCCCTGGGAACCTAAGTGCTTGGTGGATCAGATGCTTGTTTAGCCTGGATCCTCCCCTCTTCTCCCAGTTACACAATTGGCTCGAGCAGTAGAGGTTCCGAGAAGTAAAGAAAAACAAGCAACCCAAACCACTCCAAACTTGTCTTTATGTCACTAAATAATCTCCAGCCGGGCCTCTCGACAACTATTAATAGCCCAATCTCCAGGGACTGGGAGAATGACTCCCTGCTGTATGGAAGTCTAATTCTGGAGCAGCATAAGACCTTTGGAAATATGTCCCCTGAAATGAAGTCTCTCATTGGCTGCCCTCTTCCAGCCCAAATGGCATCACCCCTTTCGTCCTGTCTCATGAACAATTGATCCAACATTTTTTTAAATTATTATTTTCTCAGAATTTAAAAAAAGATGATGCCTATTGAGGATCTCCAGGCCTTTTACAACTCCCCGTAAGGAAAGAGTTATTCCGCCCTTTGTACAGAAGGAAAAATGGAGGCACAAAGGGTTTAAGTCATTTGCCAAAGGTTGCAGAGGAAGTTAGTGGAAAAACAGAGGATAGCAGCCAGGATTTTGATTGTGACTTGATTTTGCTTGAACCACTACTCCACACTGCCTCCCAGTATTATTATGATCATCCATGAAATTCATGCTGGCCTGAAAGAAATTAATACTTAGCACCTGTAGAGCACTTTTCATCCTTCGCTCTCCAAGCAGTCTGCAAAGGAGGCTAAGGGTTACTAACCACGCCTTATAGCTGGGGTAAGTGAGGCAGAGAGATGAATGGTCTTTCCCAAGGTCACCTAGTGATTCAGTGACACAGGCAAGCGGTAAATCCAGGTCTCAGCTCTCCCAGCCCACAGTTGCTCACTGTAGGCAGATGCATCATTGATGGGACTAATTGAAGCCATCAGTGTCAAACTAGCGATGGAAAGTCTGCCCAGCACTTTGTGCTTTCATATATCTTCCTTCCCTTTGTCTTGCTGCAGACACACGTTCCGCTCAGATTTCACTCATACCCCAACCCGCAGAGGGTCGAACACCAGACTGCACAAATAGATCTTTGCTCAGGGCTCCGCCTTCACTAGACCAGTGACCACTAGACCACTTCACTAGACCAGCCTGAAGCACACTGAGGAGCTCAGCAGAGGTTGGAGCAGTCCTGACTGAACCGAGCCATAATAACATCTTCCTTTGCTATAACACAGCCAATATCAGAGCGAGGGAGCCCTGGAATCACACTCTTCCACCTGAGCTGCAACAAACTGATGACAAGAAGCAGGGAGAGGAACTAACAGATTAGAGACAGGCTGAGCAGCTCCGTAAATTATGACACGGCTGCCATTTAGGCTTAGGAAGGCCCCATCAACATCACAGCTATGATGGGGTCCAGGGCCCTGGTTAGAACACAGTGCTAAATTACTGTGTTGGTCACATAAGCTTAGACTGTCCAGGTTTAGAATCCAGTTCCAATACGCCGTTAACCTCCACCTCCACCACCAGTAACCAGCTCAGGGAGCACGCGCATTGGAAGGGAGTCTAGCGCTGCCATAACCGTGGGGTCCCGCCCTTCGGAATGCTCCGCTTGGATACAGGAAGGAGGAAGACGCCCTGCAGGGATACGTTTCCTCCTGACTCCTGCCAGTCCGCGTTGGTTTAGGTGGGGTGGACAGAGCGTATCTGTCCGAGCGCAAAGCACAAGCGAGACCAATCCCTCGTGCTTTTCCCTGTCGGTGCTCTCATCATTCTTAGCGGTCCCTCGGGCACGCGGATGCTTGGCTGAATCGCCCCTTGAGGTGGCCGCGCTGTGCTGTGGTGGTGTTTTTATTTTGCATGGTGGTTTATACTTCAGTAAAGGTTTTATCGATTGAAAAGAAAGAAAACAATAATGCTGTTGGGGTGTCATTTTTACTAATAATGCCCCCTTTTTCTCCCCCCTTCCCCTCCCCTCCCCACCCACTGTATATTGTATGTGTGTGTGTCTCTCTGCTTCTTTATTCTTCCCCCTGCCTGCCCCCCCGCCCTGCTCCCACTCTGCATGGCTTCAAACGACCGTGGTTTTTTTGGCTGCTCCCACCTTGTGGATGGTGGCTCTTGTCTCTCATTAGCTAGTTACACTTCAGCCCCAAGCGAAGAGCAGCGGGTAGGTGAGAGGGATTCCGTTTGCACTTCCCAGTCCTGTCCTGGGTCCCCCCCACCTACCACTTCGTCGTCCCACTCACTCAATGACTATGTCGGCAGGCCCGTGCCCTCCCAGCCCGACCCCTGCTTGATGGACGAGAGTTGGTTTGTCACCCCTCCCCCCTGTTTTACTGCAGAAGGCCCCGGCCCCGTCAGGTTGGAGAGCAGCCCCATGGAGGACCTCTTGATCGAACACCCCAGCATGTCCGTCTACGTCACCAGCAACAGCATTGTGGTGGAAAGGGAGAGCCCTGACGAACCGATCAGTGAAGGGTGAGTCCAGCCTGGGATGCTGCGGATAGTAATAATAGTACATGGTGTGTCTGTAGCCCATGGCAAAGGCAGACAGGTATCATCATCTCTGCTTTCCAGCTGGGGAGGCAGAGGAATGGAGGCGTTAAGAGACTAGCCCAAGATCGCACTACAAATCAGTGGCAGAGCTGGGATTAGAGCTGCAGTTTGGGGGGACAGGCCTTGCCCAGTGGCTAGAGCACTCTAGATATCCAGGCAATGCCATCTGGCTAAAACACTAAAGAAAGACTTTCATATTAAGGGTGGGGGGATGGTCCATGGTCTCGACAGCCTTGTCTTCAGGGGAATGTTCTTTCCTTATAACATTAATTTTTGGCACCCACAAAAGGATTTTTGTTTTGCTTTTTTCATCCGGGATCCTATCCCACTTTCATTCATTGGCTTCAGAAGTGAGTGAACTCTATGCTGGAAAGAGTTAATATGGTCTAAGATTCATGTGGGTGCCTCTCTATTTTGGATTAATTACACCGGTCCTGGCAGTTCTCCCACTGCTGTCCCACGTTGCATAGCTTCATGCCTGGACTGGCTTGTCTGTTTCCCTGCCTGCCCTCTATTGCTCTGGAGGCACCTTGACCAGCTGTCCTCTCCCTGTTTAACTGGCAGCCAGGCATGCCCCTCTACAATTTCAGCTTGTGAAGAGTTTACACACTCAGAGTCACATACCAAACCATGTCCTGTGTTTCCACATGGACTTATCAGGAGGGCCTGGACTTCTCGCTTTCTGGGGAGAGGAGCATGTCCAGGACCTTCTGGACAGCAGTAATGGAATGCCAAGATCTACAACCTGGCAGAGCAAATGCAGGAGATGTGGCACCCCTGGGACATGCCCAGTGCAGCAAAGGAGCTCTGCTATCATGAACCAATCCAGACCACCCCATATTCATAGTGGTGAACGTTCCACAGTAATCAACTTGGCCTTGCTGTTGATGAACTCGGAGGACTGGTGTGGTGGCCAGGAATAAGGACATGGGTCCCATCCATGCCTCCTATACAATTTGGGAACCCTCCATTCACAGCCCTAATAGTTGATCTACCCACAGGAGCCTGACAGGTAGCAATCGAGAGTAGCAAGCTTCTAGATGTTGGTGACCCCACACTTCTCTGCGCTGAGGGCAACTCTCCTGTTGGTGTTCCACTGCTGCAGCTCTGGAGTGAACTCCACACAGATCTCCCGGAAAGGAGCCTTCCCACATCCTGAAGTGCTGCCATCACCAGTTCTCCATTACTATCCTGTCCCACCAGTCAGTACTGTAACATCGTTAGCAGGTCACTGGCCAAGTTGTCAGGATTGTCCTCCCTGCTTCCTGGGGAGTTAATGGTAGAAGCCAACGTGAAGCATCCTGATACGCCCCTCATGTTGCCCGTTATGTTGTGGTCACGGGCAGTTTAACTTGAATCTTTACTGTGGGGCTTCTTGATCTCTCCATACCATCCCTGTGGAGCTCAAGAACAAAGAGCATGCCATCTGGTTACGGACTGCGCTCCTTATCATCTTGATGATGGATGGACGCGTTTGATGTCCCTGGATGATGTTGCCATGATAGAGTGGCAACATTGCTTACCCAACATCTCATTCATTCTGCAGTCAGAAGCCATACACCAGAAGAAGTCAGGGCTAGTTTGCCAACCCCAGAAAGCAGAGCTCAGTCCAGTGAAGTCACTCCAGGAAAGGGTCGTACAGAAATAACTGTTCAATTTCATCCTCCTCCTCTAGCCATATTGACACAGCATCACTGTGCCCCAAGTGCCCCTTGCAGCTGGGTACCCTTGCACCTTGCTTACCATCACTTTCCCTCTCAGCCATCGAAGGACTCCACGACAGGCTGTCTTGCCTCAATCATATCCCCTGCCCCTTGGGGCAAGTTTATTACAAACAGTGAAAATAATCCATAGCAAAAGTCCCCAAACGTAGTCCATTTATCACCCCAGTGCACCTAGTCCATTGACACCACACATACTGCGCTCTGGCATCTTCCACAACACCTGGGCTCTTCATAGGTCCTCTCCTGTCCTTCTGCCAGGACACCCTTCCAGCTAGAGTGCACCTCTGCTCTTCCCAGTGCGAAGCCCCCCTTCCCACCGCTGACTTCTCAGCTGGGAGTTCGTCCTCACCCGGGGAACATTCATTATCCCCCTATTTCATTAACCTCTCAGGCAAGCCAGCAGGGAGATGCTTCCACTGTTCTCTTGGGTCCTCTGGCTCCAGTTCTCCAGCAAGGAGATGTCAGCTGGTAACCCCCTCTCCTGCTCCCTTGCCTTCCCCAAGGACCTCCTACAGCTGCCTTCAGAGATCTCCTCCCTGATCCTTATTAGCCTCAGGTGCTGCTCCACCCTCTGAACTGGCCAAAGGTGGAGCACCTGTTCTGGCACAGGGGGACTGGACCTGCTTCATTTAAAGGGGCCAGCCCTCCTGTGACACTGCAGCTGTCTCCTAACCCATCCAAAGCTACCTGGCTGTGTGGCTGCCCATACGTGTGTGGAGCGGTTTGTTCGTATTAATGACGATCAGGATCACAGTGCTTCCTCCACACTGCCGGGCAGCACTTTGTAAATAGTGCTTACTCTCAAACAAGGGACAAATTACGGGATGCTAGGAAGGGAATCATGGGAGTTTGTTCATTTGAGCCCAAATCCCAGAAATCCAGTAGGTTCCAATAGACACCCCACAATGCACTGCAAGAAAAAGCCCAGAATGCTGGGCCCCGAGGAGCAGAACATTGCACCGGGGATATCCGTTCAGAATGGTGCGCAGTTATTTCCAGAAAGTACAGAGCTTTGTGAAGGCAGTGCTTGAGAAGGGAAGTAGCGTAAGATGGTGTAGACAACGCAGTGTGGGCACACTCTTTCAGTCATACCACCGGTATCGTTACAGCAGAAAACCAGACACCAAAAAAAACAAGCCTGTGGCAATAAGGCTTTGGAGTGGACTTGGCTCCACTCACCTTTCACTGGTGTCTTGGAATTTACCACGTTGGCTCTTTTAGGAAGGATATTTGTCGGCTTTTCCTCCTCATCTCAGCTCATCTGCATCTCCTCCGCCCTGGTCCTGCAGTGCAGTTCTAGTTCTGAGCGCAAAATCCTCCACTCTGGAATGTGGTTCTTCCTGCAAATTGAGCTCTCCTGGGCACCGAACCGTCCCCCCCCCCCACTCCTAGGCAGAAAAAGAACCCCAGAGAGGGGACCAAAGCCCACTGCTTTTCCAGGAAAGGGGACCCTCCTGGGAGACAGCAGCAATCCTTACTTCCAGTTCCACACGTTCTCCCATCAGCAGCCGCAGAGTTCACAACCGATGCCCGGAAGTGCAGCCACATGGCAAATTACAAGCCACACGGGCTGCTCAGTGTTTTGGGACGTGTTACCAGAGTATCACAACAGCACATACACACCAAAGGCAAACTGGGCTAAGGCCCAGCCATGAGCCAGCCAGACAGCTCGATGGCTTTTGGCATTAACACTCCATGGGAGCGTGGGCCAAATACATCGTTATTGTTTATACAGCACCACAGAGGGACATGGCCCAGTTCAAGAGCAAATTCCCCGGGCAAGTCTCAGAGGACGACACTGAGCATCATCGGCTGGGATCTCATTTGCCCTTTGCAAACTCCTTTTTCGTAGGGCCAAATTCCAATCCGGCTGGAGTCAGTGAAAGTTTGAAGGCAGAGGGTGAAATACAAAGCAAAATGGCTACAAATAATAGTTAAAAGTAGGGAGGAAATGAGCTCAATTTGCCCTTGATTTCCCTCATTGTTGGAGGAGAACTTCTGCTGACCGAGCAGCTGGCTTTCAAGCTCTCTTCTCCCCATGAGTCATCTGTGCTAATGGAACCTGGTTCAATCACGCCAATCGTTTGATCTGGGGAAGTCCTGTTCCTTTTAACAACTCTGCTTATTGCAGATTGGCCTATGGAGCAGTTCACTCATAATTCCATTGGCCTTGTAAGAGGCTTTGAACAGCGTTGCTTACAGGAGACAGCAAGCCAAATTCAGAGGTGATGAGTAGGGGAAGGGTCTCAATTAAATGCCAATTACTAAATCAAAGGGAGCCTAAGCTGGAGTAATTTGCATGCAGAGAGATTAGAAGAAACCACCTTAGAATCTCTTCTAAATTTGTCCCTGTATGTGTGTTCGTCTGTAAGACACTCGCGCGCAAAGCCAGCTAAGTGGTTGTTAAGGGGATGTCAGCCTGGGTAATACGAGCATTTTAAAGCATTAATCTGCCATACCGATCTTGGGAAAATAGCTCTATTTCCATGGTGCTATCACCATAGTACCGCATGCAACCTCCAACGGAACAATTCTTGGTCGTGCTGAGCATGACGTGGGGCTCGTCTCTTCTTTTGTTGTATGGGCATTTGCACATTTGACTCAGAAGGGAGCTGTCAGGAGTCTCATCTGTGACTCCAGTTGGCAGTCGACCCCTTCGTGCCCTGGGGAAATGCAAAGTGGTGTCACACCTGTCTGAGGTCATCCTGAGCTTAACCATTAATGAATGTGTGTGTCTCTCTCTCTAGGGACGTGCCTGAACCCCGGCTGGAGCGCCGCACCCCGCACCACCCCACCTCTCTCACGGCAAAAGCTGCCATCTTGGAGAAGGTCAGTCAGGTCCGTCGGATCCAGCGGGCAAAGCAGCTGGTGGAGAAGCACAAGCTCAGTCAGAAGGTCATGCAGCGGCAGAACCGCGCCAGAGAGCGCCACCCCCGGCGGGCCAAACACCAGGGCAGCTTTGTCTACCAACCATGCCAGCGCCAGTACAACTACTAAACTACTTCAGGAAGTCTGCACCGCGGGGCATTACCCTTTTAACTCTCAAGCTTCACGTCCCATCTTGCGATGCTTTCTCCAGCAGAGGTGTCTTCATCCTTTCTCTGGAATAAACCTATCCCCATGAGAGACGCTTTTCAATTTCTTCTGAACTGATGATGCTCCACAGCAGATCCTTGCTGGGCTCTCCTTCGGTTTCACTCCCCTTTTTACATTAGAGTATACATTTACTTACCTATTATTTTCTTCCTTCTCCACTTCGATACCTTGCACTCCCCTCCCCACCACTGCAGCTTTTGCTCTGGCACTGAGCAGGAGAGAAAGCCGGCACATCACCCTCACGTAACCTAATGACACTGGCTGGGGGACAGCTTTTAAATGTCAAGAAATGATTTAAAAGAATCAGTGCTAAAGTCTCTGGAAAAACTTGTGTCCAACCAGTTACCCTCGGGAAAATGATTCCTGATGGGAGGTATTTCCCCAGCTCCCCGACTCCCTCCCCAATACTTGAGTAAGTTCTTCCAGCTGCTCTTGCAACGGTTACCAGTATTTGAATTCGAGTTTGGTGTTCCCAGTGAATGCTCTACTTTTCACTAAGCTTAACACCAATGTTACGCTGAATTTATGGGAGGGTGAAGACGCCCCGTCATTTCCTTTGTCCCTTGCCGTTGTATTGGGAGCCTGTGACGTCAGTGCCTTTCTTTATGACATCACACTCTTCTCCATGGAACAGATTGTGATGTCACAAATGGAGATACCAGATTCAAATGCAAACTGGAACAAAATAACAACAAAATTGGCCCAAATTCCAGGAAAATGTAAATTTATGTGGAATAAAGACCATTCCCCCCATCCCCCTTTAAAAACTGGATTGTATATTAGATCCTCTCTGAATTAACTTGGGAGCTGGGATTGTGGTGTCACTGATGATCCTTACTTGCATGCTTTTATTATCTAGCTGTCTGTTCAGAGGTGCCATGCTGGAGTAAAGGGAACCCTGCTTGAGCATCTCCTAGCAAGTATTTAAGGCCTGATTTTCAGAAGTGTTGAGCACCGACAACTCCAACTGAAATCCGTGGGAGCTGCAGCTACTGAGTGCTTCTGGAAATCAAGCCTGTGCAGTATTACTGTAGCCCTTAATTCCCCACAGCCTTTTTAAAAGAGTGCAAAGTCCATTTTATTATTCCGGTGCTTTCAGGTTACAGTCGGGTGTCTTACAATATGTTTGGCCCACCCCTCCAAACAGCTTTGCTTAAGGGACAAGTGTCAAAGCTCTAAGCAGATTATTGCATGTGGAACACAGGGCAGAGATCAGGTGGTCTTTAGAAAGGCTGAACAAATCTGCCTCGTGAAATGGTCAGGAACATTCACCAGCTTAGGCAAAAAACAACAAGAAACAAATCCCGCAATGACTTACTTGCATTTTACAATGACGAAGCCTTTAAAAAGCCCTCATCCATTCGAATAAAGAATTCTCATTCCAAGCAACAGGCTGGGCAGAAGCCTGTGGGGGTGGATTATCTGATTGGTTGTAAACACCATATTAGATCTTCAGAGCCAATGGTTGAGCAATGAACGAGGAGGCCTACCCCCTAGACTAGGTTGTCATTTCCTCGGTCTGTCCAAATCACTGGATTTCTGGCAAAAGGTTCTCCCTGGTCTCCGCTGGTTTTGGTGCCCCGGGGAAGCCAGTGATCTGTACATGTCCAAACAGGTCTTGGTGTTTTCTATTTTCAGTCAAAATCTGGGCCCTCGGAAAACAAACCCGCAAAGCAGCATTGTGTAAATCCCACTACCTCCAAGGAGCTGTTAGAGGAGCCACTCCCAGCAGACAGGTCTAGCCTCAGTGGATGATGATACTTCTTGAGCATGATCCTAAAGCTAGTGGTTGGACATAACCCATCACTCAAACCCCCAGGCGTGAGAATTCTCCTTCACGCTGGTATAACAGCCTGTGGTTTGCTGCCCCATCTAGCGTTTGGGAGGACAGTGCAGAAAGGGGCTTGTGCAATAGTCACAGAGGTGGTAAAGTATGTCGAAGCTGGTAGCGAAAGGATGTGCAACAAGAGAGGAAGCGAAAGAGATTGGGGACAAAAGAAAGGCAGGAGGAGAGAGGCAAGACAAGAAACGAGGATGGAAACTGGAGCAGTTGAGAGGGTACAAGCCCAAGGCCGAGAACTGTGTAGCACAGAACTTGTGCCTACGTGGATGGAAAAAGATACAAGTCCCCCAAGAAGAGGTATATATGGCAGCTCCCCTATTCCACTGTTACAGGCAGGCCTAACGCTCGCTAGTCTGATAGTCCCTACAGGACTATAGGGAGTTTCTGATGGGAAATAAAGTTCCAGGCGTTCAGCCCAGTTGAGGAATTTCTTCTCTGTAGTCAGAATGGGCTAATAGATAACCCCCGGTTAACTGCACTAAAGATTGTGCCCTGTGTCATGAATAGCCATATTCATCCCTGGTGGTTTTAATGCTGCTACGCCAGAGCTGGGTTTGGCCCAACATGTTTATCCTTAAAAGGCCATTGTCAAGATATAAAAAATTGTACGTTAATAATACGCGATTAGTAAAACCGCAAAGCTGTCTGAAAATCACTTTCCTCCATTAATGCTCTTTATTTACTGCTTGCACTTCACTCCCTGGGGGAACGAAACTAGGCTGTCCACAGGCAGGCTCCCGTTCCCATTTGCACAATGCTGTTGAGTTTGAGTTTCCACCATGCAAGGCCATGTTGAGCTACAAAAATAAAACCACTTTCACTGGAATTTCTTCTATAAACCATTATTCAGACCTTTACCTTCATAGTAGGTTTTGTGAAATTGTGTTTTTAAAAATAATTGTAAACAGTGGGCCTCCACCATGTGAGCGCCGCTTTTAAAATGTCTAATAATTGAGCTCTTGAGAGGGAATAAACTTACAATTAGCAGCCTCCAGGAATGGAGGCTAACAGATCTGGTTAGCCCGGAGAATGGCTAATATAATTTTGCCTGCAGGATCTAGCTAAAATGCAGGTGCCATGGGAGCCTCTAAAAATACAGAGATAAATGGGATTATTTTAAATATATTTAATATTTGTTGTTCTTCAGTGTAATCAACCATTGTTTGAAACAGCCCTACTGCCTCTATAACTCTCCCAGTTTGGCTTTTGTAAAATTCTGCACAAGACCATTATTAGTGTCTCCAAACACAAAGCCCTGCTGCCCTCATGACACTACTGAACAGAAAGTTCTCACACAGCATGGAAATAAATTCTAACCCGCCTAGAGAAATAAGAGCAGTGCCTGGCAAAGATTAAAAAACAGTAACATCATCCTGTACTAATGGAAAGGCCGCTGCAGGCAGCTATTTCTGATTGAATCATTGGTGACTCTAGTAACTAGAGATAACTCCCAACCAATATGCTGGACCTGAACTCCTCCCCCACCCCCAGCACACACAAACCTTGTTGACGTTCCAGCTGGCTCTGAGCTCTGTAGCTTGGGCCCATCTCTAATAGGAACCTGATTTTTAGAACCTGATCCCTCCTTTCATTGAAGTCAAGGGCAAAATTCCCATATTGCTAGGATCAGCTGTTTGTTCCTCTTTGCTTTTGCACCCTTGTCAGCATCAGGAGAGGCAGCCGAGCTCATGTGCACAGATCTCTTGGCAAGACGGTTTAACAGCAGTTAAGAGAAAGAGAGAGAACTTGAAAAGCCAGTGTTATTTCCCATGGTCTGGATGAGCCCCACCCCTGTCTGTTTGATACCAGCTCCACATTGTCTCCACGTGTTGGAGCAGGCAGTGGTGTGATAGAACTTCATCTGCTCACTGCTGAAGGTCCCACCAGGAGCGTGTTAAAGATGGCAACATGTCTATTATTTCATTTGCAGCCGACTCCTTACCGGAGACTGGCAATGTCTTGACTTGATGGGACATTTACAGCCATTCACATCCTTAGTTTTCTATTAAATGCCTTTTTCTCAAGTGAGCCCTGATGCAAGTTGGGACTGGTGCATTTTACATGAACGCCGACTCAAGTTCCTGCAGAGGTGAGGAGGAGCTATTTCCTAAACTCGTCAATGTCCATGTCAGAATTAAGAATTTTTTAAGCAGCAGCATAGGAACAGGGTTAAATTTTGGATGCTCATCAAGTCTCCGCCCCCCGCATCCCCGGTTCAGTTCTCCTTTCCATAGGCTGTTTGGTCAATCTGTTCTGCAGCATTAGGCTGTTTCATGCACATAAGGTGGCTTTAGAGGGAGATTTCCTTGCTGGAGCAGACACCAATAAAGAGCTGTATGAGGTCAGTAATTTTTCTGCCTCCCGGTCAGCTGCCACCTGTTACAGTTACACAGTTCTACACCTCCACTTACGACATGCCTCAGGCACCCTGCAAATGACAGTGATGTCACAAATTTAACATGATGATGTCACCCATGCCCAGAGCCCCCATAACACTTGTGATATTTGGAGCTGACCATTGTGTCTTGCAGATCAAACAGGTGCCAAATGGCTGCGAGAGAGAGCGAGTGAGCAAAGCTTCCTAGAAACACAAATTGCTTTGGGGAATGCTACTCACCTTGTACATCTTACAATGCATGTGTCTGCTAAGCTGCTCCCAAGCATTTCTCCCAGTAGGAGAAGTCCCTCTTTAAAAGCCTCCCAGCCTCGCTAATTGTCCAGGACAGTGAGAAGCAAAAACTACTCAATTAGGACTTGATCCAGCAGCAATTGAAGTCAATGGTAAAGCTCTAGTCGCCCTCAGTAGTGCCGGCCAGGGCCCTTAAGTGCTGTTAAAACAGAGGCACTGAGTCCAATAGCCCAACTGCCCGTTTCAGTGGTAGTTCATTTCTAATATTTAAAGTTTTATTTTTTTTTAGAAGGAGAATGCAAGGAACTTTGCTTGGATGTCATCGTTCTGCACAACTGCATCATGTTATCCCTAGTCAGCAGGGGAAACCAAGCAAAACTACCATCTCACTTTATATCAAGAGTTTAGAAAGGGTTAATCAAGGATTAATAATGTTTTACTGAAAGGTCAAATTATTGTTAGACAGGTCACTAGGTTACTATTACCATGGCTTACAAGCATCTAAAACACAGACTGTTCTCAACGTAATCATTTATTAACCCTTTATAAGCTGATTAGAAATGCACCTGCTATCAAGTGTGACCAAACAGCTAATGCTGTGACAGAGGTGTGTTCACACTGTGCTTGGAGGCGATCACTAGAAGTACTGGTCTGCTACCAAATTTCCTGTCCTAGTTCTTTAACCATCAACCAGAGCCCGTCACGCTGAGGTTGGATGGCTCTCCTTTTATCTTAAAGCAAACAAAAGGTGCTTAAAACACAGAATCTTTGGGTGCACGTGTGTAAATATTTTAAAAACACAGAGTGGCTGTATGGTGTTGATTTTGGTTTTGCATTCAGTATTTCCAGTTTGTGGTTAGTTGTGTGATGCTCCCAACTGAAAGGTTAAACAAACAAACTAACCTGTGGCTGGGAGCGTGTTGTTCTGATCTCCTACTTTAATGGCTATGCGGAGTTTTCAATTTCTTTTTTATTTGTGTAGGGGAAATTACAGCGTGGACTCAGGGACAAACACGTGCATTGGGATCTTTAAAAGTGCATATTTCAGAACATTTGATTCTGATGCGTTCTTTTATTTCTTGGGAGGCTGTGGATACGAATCTGCACGTCCTAAAGGAATCTGTGAAACCTAGTGAGATGTCTTTTTATTTTCTTAGCATGAATTGCTAGTAGCTGCCTTTTGGAAGAGGAAAAGGATTCAACTGGCACCAGTGTAACTGTGTAACAGATTTAAAGTTAGCAGTGTCCACTTACTAGCTATGGGGCCACTCAGGGGCACACCCACCTCACTCATGTGGGTCCCAGGAATCACATGGAAATTGTTGAAATACAATTTATTCCTCCTCTAGGCCAGCGTTATTGGAAATATCTAGCTAGCTATTTTTAAGGAATATATTTTGAGAGGGCATCAAAGCCCCCAAGGGCTTGGGGGCAATGCCAAGATCTTGGAGGCAGAGCGAACAACAGATCTGTGCTCCACATGAATCACAAACTTGAGCTAGATCTTGCTCCCAGCGGAGTCAATGGGAGCAGGATAGGGCCAGGCGGGTGCAAAATGGTTTGGAAAAAGTGCGTTGAGAGTAATAAGGGGGCAGGGGAGGGGGCATTGCGACGGTTGTTCGCGCTCTCAGGAATAATGTCATTTCTGATTTTTTTTTTTAACATTAAAAAAAAAAGGCACCAGGTGGAAAACAAAGTCCTGGGGGCGCGTCTGTTTAGAAAGCCAGGTGGGCTTGGCTCTTGCTTACTCAGCGGGCTAATGCTGAGGCCACGGCCAGCATGGGCAGTGCAATGGAGTAGATCTTCTAATAACTCTTGCCCATCTTTAGAGCATAGAAGCCAGATCCCTGCGAGGTACTATCCCCCCCCCTCCCATGACCCAGGAGAGCGCTCACAGCCAGTCAGGCTCTATGCGAGGGGAGGGGCAGACTGCAGGGAGGAGCCAGGGGGATGACTGTCATTCCCCCGCCACCTGGGTGGAACTTGCATGGAAAGAGCAACATGGCGCCAGGCCAGATTATCTCTTCTGCAGAGCTCCTCTCCAGGGGCCAGAGCCAGTGGGGAAATATAACCTCTGCCTGGCTGACCCTGCCTGCCTGTGGATTCTCCCACAATCGGCCTGGTGCAGAATCAGAACCCACATCCTCTGCCATGCAGCGGTAAATTCTGCCCTTCTTAGTTGCAGGGGGTGAGGGAACCGCTTTGCCCATAAACACCACTGACCCTGCTTTTTTTAAGTCAACAAGAGGTTGGCTTCAATGGGGGCATGGGCAGCCCTTGAGCACAAAGCTGGGGGAATGCCCCCCTTTTGTTTTAAAACATTTATGTAGAGCAAAGTCTGAAGCCACGTATTCTAGCATTCTGCATAGAACACCCCCCCGAAGCAGCCCTAGTTAAGTGATCCTGGTTCAGGGGCTGAATTCAAAAGCGGGTCACAGCAGCCCACTTAGTCCTTGATCACAAACACACAAGCAGTCCATGATGCTAGACTCTGCCTCCTGCATTTTGGCCGGGTTTCATTTGCATTTAAAGGGTGATGAGGAGCGCTGCTGGGCGACAAGCTGGGTGCCATGGAAAGCACACCTGCCAGCAGAGCTGCCCTTGAAATCCAGCCCTTCGAAACCAGCACCTACAAGTACCACTTCCGAGAGGCACCCGCTCTGCTGGGAAAGCCCAGCCTTGAGGAAAGTCAATTCGGTCCAGCAGGGCCCCTTTCTTTTAATATTGCAAAGTACAAATTTAGGTATGTAGTTCATCCCAAAGCTCCTCGCTTTAGGAACCTGTTATTTCTCTTTGTATATTTTAAAACTGTATGTAGCTGGGTGTGGAGCAGTTTCCTTTTCTCCCCCCAAGCCCCAGGGGGAGGAAATCCATTAGTGTGTTTGATGAAGGCCATGCACAGTACCAAACTCTCCTGCGATGTAAAAAGCCCATGTTTGCAAGGGCACAGGGCTAGGATAATTCCCAGCCCAACTCCCTTGCATAGATTGGGGCTGAAATTGGTGGTTTCCAGTTATGGAAGAGGTGGTTTTTTTAACAAATGAGCATGGCAGATATTTGTTATTTAATAAATAGACAAATACGACTGCAGTGAAAAGTGAAGGTTCAGCAATGGTCACTAAACTGTAGCTAAGAAAGCGGTCACTCTCCTTGATAGTGGTTCTCCACCATTTCCATAATGTAACGCTATATTACAACAGAAAAAACCTTTGGGACCCATCTAGCTAGTTCACACACACACACACACACACACACACACACACACACACCACCCC